ACTTCGAAAGATTAGAGTCTAAACTTTCGCTCATTTGATCATATACATCATTTTCGTTATTCATTACGTTAGGAAACGTTTGATACAAATTAAATTGACCAACTTCCGCCATTGAAGAATTAAAGTCAAAATTTTCGCCCATTTGTCTAGAAACGACATTTTCTTCATTCGTTGAGTTATTGATTTGAACAACCGCTGCTATCAAAGTATTAGAGTCAGAATTTTCGCCCATTTGTCCATCAACGAAATGTTGGTAGTTCATTACGCTGGAAAATGGTTGATACTGATTGAACCTATCAACTACCATCGAAGTATTAGAGCCTGATCTTTCGCCCATTTGAATAGCAACCGAAGGAATAGAGCATGAACTTTCGCTCTTTTATCAGCCATGGCATGTATCAAGACTGATCTGATAATTTCTTGTTCGTTCAGATTTTTAATCTTTTGGCATATCACGCCAACGTTGAGATACTAGTTTGCTGAACTCCGTCATCGGCAAATTATCTTTGTTATATTGCATCATTTCGTTACGGTAAACAATGAAAGCATTTGGTTTTCTCTTCATTTTGACCGTGGCCGATCCATCAGTCATTTGTGGCTTTAAGAAATGAAAAGTCATGATTCAAAATTGTATTAAGATGACAGAAGATGTTCAATAAAATATAAAGGACTAAAATTTTTGCCAAGACTAAATCCTGTCCATTTATACATTTGAATCGAGAAGTTAATGCACATCAATTCATGTAAATATTATATTAAATTTTATATCAGATTTTTCCCAAAAAGTATCGAATGACCTCAGGTGATTCTTTGGATGATGCTTCTTTTCTTTTTTAAATTCAAAAAGAATCAATCACGCCCCATTAGATAATTTTGTTGGTCGTGTGCGAGAAGTACTACCTGAATGAGGGAATTCAAATACGCCACTCTGCTGCGGGAAATGTTTATGCGGGTACCGCTCATTTTAAGCAATTAATTAATTAACTTCAAGCAAAAGTTCGAGTTTTAAATCGGAGATCTTATCCGTACAAATGATCCAATATCAATTTATCTAATCAAGCATTAATTAATAATGTTTGCATACGGGATTAATAAAAGAGTATTTAATATGGAATTGAATTTCTAATTTAGTTTATACGCAAAATAAATAAACTACCTCCTTTGATAATTGCATTAAAACATTTTACAGTACTTAACGACTCATGCATGATCAAGGGAAACTTTTTTTTACAACTACAAATGACAACAAATATTTTATGCCTAACTAAGCTACTCTAATATATCAAACTACATATAATTTACTACATGAGTTCACGAAAAGATTAATCGAGCCAATATTTAATAAATGTTGCTTGTTTAAATATAAAATATAAAAATTTCTATATTTTCAAGAAAAATTACTTTTATTTAAATATAAATAAAAAAAATTTATTAAACTATCATTTTTTTATAAATCACAAAGTTATAAGTCGTGATATTTTGTTTATTATACTTACTCATCTTTGAAATTCAAAATAATGATTACAATGACAACAAATAATATGCATTGAGGCTTAGACAATATCATTAAATTCATTTGACGAGGCAGATATAATTTCATAACCGAGCAACAAGAAAATGATCGGCTCGTGTTGATTTCAAACTAATGACGCCATTGTTTATAATATTTAATTTCAGTTTATATTTTCATCCATTGTTACTTAATCCGAACAATTCCGAATAAAATCCTGGGGTCCTGTTGGTCTTTTTCGTATACATAAATAAGCATAAGCCTAAACCAGTTTCAAAATAGAATCAATTTTTTGGCTGGTTATTTTTGAAAAATGCAGAATGTAATGCAATCCTTGACGGGTGTCATAATTAGACAGTATAAAAGTTGACTTTTAATACAATTATTAAATTTTTTTTATTTTCGCAGCACACATAAGTACAGTATCAATTTGATCTTTCGGATCAAGCCGCGAAATTCTAAATCATCAAAAAAAAAAATCTAAACTAAACTAAAAAAGCAAATAAGCAAAAAAAAAAAATGAAAAATTTGTCCTATCAGCACTCTCAATTGTAATAAAGCAGAAAGACGAAGACTTGTGCTGTGGGAGTGTTAGTTGGCAAATTATTATGTAAAGTATAATGAACTATTAGGCGATAAGTTCGAATTGTAATAAAAAAAAATAATTATATTTTAACCTGTATTTTCTTTTATAATACAAATTTCACTAAAAATTTTAGAAATGAAGAATTTATTAAACCTCAAATCAGAATTAATATTTTAATTAATTAATATCGAAATAACTTCATCCTAGTTCAAGAATGTTAGTGCTGGTAGCAGGATATTATTCAATCGCAAAGATCAAATTTTGAACAATGCCACGAGGACAATTTAATAAACTTATCATAATTTAAAAGCATGATATATACAGTATCTTTTAAGACCAATAATAGTAAAGAATAAATTAGTTGTATAAAAACGAATTGTATATAGGGTTGGATGGGAAGAGATGGTTTTACCCACTCTAATAGTAGAACAACGATATAATCTTTCCTTTAAGTCATGCATTTGCGCTTCTACCATTTTTAATTTTAATCCAAATAATAAATCGCTAAAATTATTTATTGACCTATAGGTCTAACTACTGCAGGTTCAAACGATATAAATAAATTATTATCGGAATTGTTGCGACGTTTTAATGACTTAGTAAATATATCGTAAACTATTATTAATTAATAAAAGAATTAATAAAAGGTATATAACTTGCGCGTAATGTTCTAATAATAAAGTGATCATCCCTTCATGCCGGTTTTTATCAGCTTTATCATCAAAAAAAATTTTCTTTCTCTCGGCTGCTTTCAAATTTGTTGTCCTTTCTTAAAATTACAGCTATTTTTAAAAAGTCACTGGACAGCCGATATTCCCGAGAACATTTAACAGGATTCGGAAAGCCATCCACATATTCTTAAGATTAGTGCTGCTATCCTCGAAACACTGCTTAAGAATTATTTTGTCCTAAAATTGTTAAGCCACTAAGTTTTAATTAACAAACAAGAATATATTAATATTAAATAACGAATCTTTAAAAATTTAATAAATTTGTTATCTTTTTATTTACTCTGTGCTTCGACCTGAAATTCTTGATAAACTCCAGATGTTTATACTCAATTAATTAATGACGCGCGGTGTTGGCATCCTAATCTTCCAAACGCCCAATTGCGTCTGAATTATGCGCAATATTGAAAATTTGATCGCTGTTTATGCAATGAACCTCCGAACATTTTCCGAGGAAAAATATTATCAAAGTATTCTATGAACACTTTCAAAATTTAAGTAAAATATATTAATTATGTATAATAAATTACTAAAGCTAATAATGAATTGTATAAAATGTGATTATTGCATGTTATGAATCTGCGAATTGTAATAAATTTGCAAGTAACCATAGAAAGAATATTTTTATAGATCATGTGACTTATATAAGTGGTCAAACGACCATAACAAAAAATAAATTCAAGTCCCAAGAATACTTTGTAAAAATAAATAAGGTGATAAATAAAAGGTTCTAAGCGACATAAAAATGTCACAGCACAGATTATAGACTTCATTAATTTTTTAGGGTTTAAAACATAATACGGCCCTGCCTGATGATATACACCCTATTTTTTTTTGCGATTATCCATGTGTTAGTTAGTTATCATCTTCCCAAAATTTGGATAAAAGCAAAGCTTTGCAAATTTTATAAATTTGGAAATCATCCTAACATAATTAAAAACATCGCGTAAATTATGGCAAAATTCTCATTTTACACAGTCTTAATTTCTATTATCATCATAACTCTTCATCCATCAAGTGTTAAAGTTGGCATTTTTTTGTATAGAATGAGTCAACTTGTGTGTGATTTTTGTGGCTTTCCTGCTATAGTACCTTTGGAATTGTTGCTGGTATATATATAATCAATGAATATTAACAGCAATTTATTGAATTTTAATAATTTTATGCTTTTTCTTTAGATACATTTACATATACTGAGGGTATTGGTTCTGAATTTTGTGATACTAACCATGTTCTTTGTGCACAGTTTTGTATTCCTTTATATTTTCGTTAAAGGAGGTACTATCTTGTGATAAAATTGGTACGTTAACTGTTCTTAGCCTATATACACCAGTGATGGCAAATTATAAGGTCTTTTGACTTGAAATTTATAATAACAATAAGGTCATTTGAGGTCATTTGAGGTCA